GCTATGGCGCTGTGAGAGTGGCAGCAGCCAGTTGCAGCAGCTCCTTCCTGCTTTCTGTGTTTTTAGGTATTTACTTTGGTATTTCTTCGATCTTTTTAACATTTTAATTCCACACAGCTGTACCACATTTGCGCGGGAACAGTGGAGATGCAGATGGCGATTTTGTTGGTCTGTTCGTTGTTTGTTCTTTGCTGAACTGCTGGCGGTTGGTTTGCGGCCGTTTTACCTGCCGAGGGAGTTTTCAACATCCTGGAGATTTCAGTTTCCATCCCCCCTCGGCTGATGCTGCTGCAGCCTGTGAACTCATCCATAGCTCAGTGTCCCAGCTGCAGACATCTCACCCTCAGCCTCTGAGACTTTAACCAGACGTGGCTCTCTACTGCTCTCCACACATTCAGCCAGCATGTGGACGGTCCAACCAGAGACGGTGGGCCTTGGACCTGCTGTGTGCCGACACCAGGATGCACATCACTTAACTATTGATATTTTGTTGTACTTTCTATGTTTCTGGATGCTGCTGTGGCGTGTACATTTCACCCAATGGAGGATTGATAAAATTGTTCTATTCTATTCTATCTTCACTATTTTTTTACGGATGTTTTATTTCTGGTGGCACGTCTGTTGGTTGGGTGTACTGATGACGGATGGATGGATGGATGGACGTCTGTTGTTTCCCACTGAGTGGTGACTGTCATTATGAACAGTCTTTACCTGTAAAAATGTCCACATTGTCAAATCACTTAACACAGTCATAACGATGTATGAGGACTGAACACAGCCTAAAACCAGCTTCAGATCCTTGGCTGCAGGTGCTGTGTGGTTTCTTACAGGAATTTAAAAAACAAGGAGGAAACCTCAGAGTTCCTCGAGGCTGCAGATGCTGCCGTCAGATACGAGCAGTTCCTCATTCTTTAGAACGTAATTTTTTCTGTCTTCCCTAAACTAAAAAGAAGTGACAATGATTGTAATTTGTAAAGGCTTTAACCGCATTATTGTGGCAGCTTGACACACTTGTCTGAACCGGCTCGACTCCCACGCCCAGCGTAGCGAGGTTCATCACTCCAACCACCGCCTGCTGCAGCAGCTCTGTGGAGGCCTCAGCAGCCGTCTGATCACCGTCCAGCTGGACCAGGATAGAACTCATGCTCACAGCATTTGGGTCTGAACAGCTGGAACCATCGACTGACCTGATGCCGACCCGATACCGACCAGCAGTCAAAGAACCGCCAGAGAACACGCAAACGAGGCCTCTTTATTGGAAACCAATACTGTCTGTGGACGCGCCTACTCACCACCACCGGCTGCAGAGAGCAGATTCAATCATTAGGAGGCCGATCACAGGACTGTAATTACTGGTGGACAGGACGCCCAGCCGGGGTGCTGTTACCCCAGGGGGCAGTTCTGAAGGTGCCATGGGGTAAATGGACAGACGGCAAAAAGAATATGATTTAGGAAAAGACAGAAGTAGCGTCACTGGGAGACCTTGTTTCTGACAACTGATAGCTACATAAAACTGCTAATGGCTGAAATGACTTGAAATGGCTAAACGAGAGAAAGTTGAAATCTGTTAGCAACATGTAACGGCTACTGGTTGAAATGGTACATTTATTGGCTAATTGTTTAAAAATGCAAGCTACGTGAAAAGGGTCAGAGTTGAAAAGGTTGAAAGTAATAGATGACTGATTTTTCTGGCTCTAACAGCTAATGGTGGACATGGATAAATGGTTTAAATTGTTCTACGTGAACTTGCTAATGAGTAAATAATTTAACTAGCAATAAACAAATGGTAGCACAGTTAGCTACAAGTGGATCAAAGGTCGAAGCTTTCAGCTTCTGCTGCTCCAAACAGTTAAACTGGACGAAAAGCACGTTTCTACAAATCTGTCACGGTTCCATTAACGTCATATATTTATTAAAGCCCATTTACAGTTAATCTGATCAACAGTGACGGGTTGTGTGCAAACATCACACAACAAAGACTTGAACACATTAAAATCAATAGTAAGTAAAGGAAAGAAAACTGAGTGTAAATATTCTGATCATTGTCTGGTTTGACTTTAACAAGGAAAAGATGAGTTCAGTACCAAACAGTACGGCTCCCCATTATTAAGTAACCTCAGAACATTCTTCTGAATGACTAACACATAATAAGTTATGTATTAATCTATTACTGCAGCAACAAGACGTGTGAGCGTCTTCCTGGTTCAACATGAAGGTTGCAGCAGTGAAACTCAGTTTGGATCCTCAGTTCACAATCGCTCCCGTCACCTGATCCTACGAAGCAGAAATAACCTACAACAGCTTCAAATCCGAGCAACAGCAGCACAGATTTAGAATAGCACTCCTATAGCTTCATCTTGTACAGTTTTAAAGCCATACGAACCAGACGTGGCCTTTTTGTTCCACACATCTTCTTCCTCGTCCAAACTGGTGATCATCTTCAAACTGGTGATCATCTTCAGACTGGTGATCATCTTCAGACTGGTGATCATCTTCAGACTGAATCTCAACTTAAGAATCACAGTAGTTTTGTAAATGGGTCTGAAATCATGATTTTCTCTTTTTGCCAATGAAATGGCTGAAAGTAACAGCTAAATGGTTGAAACGGCTAAATTAAACGGGTAAATAACTCCAACTGTTACCTTCCTTATGGTTGTAACTGCTAACAAGTAGTGGCTAATGGTTGAAATGGCTCATGGAGCTTCAGATAAACAGTTAGCCTTTGTTAAAATAATGGTTCAATTGTGAAAATTTGAGTAATAGCTGACATTATTAGCCAGGTAGCCAATGGTTAAACTGGTTAAAAGTAATGGACAAACAGTTAGCTCCTGTAAAAATAAAGGCTAAACTGTGGAAATTGTTAGCTTCAAGTAATGACTGATGTTATTAGCTACATGGCTAATGGCTAAAATGGTAAACGGGAGTGGATAAACAGCTAGCTGCTGTAAAGTAATGGCTTACTCCTGTAATTGTTAGCTACATGTAATAGCTAACATTATTAGCTATATGTCCAATGGTTAAAGCAATGGTTAAAGCAATGGCTAAACAGTTAAGAAGGACTAAGTTGTTGAAATTTTTAATTACAGGTTATAGCTGACATTAGCTAGATTTAATGCTAATGGTTGACTAAGTGGTTGCACCTGTTGTCTTGTTAAAGGCAGCGCTGGCTAATACAGTTAGCCACTGTAAAGGTAAAGGCTACTGGTTTAAATGGTTAAACAGTTTAACAGTTGTTTAATGGCTAGTAGCTGAAATTACTAAAAAAAAATAATAGATGAACAGCTAGCTACTGTAAAAGTTGTGGCTGACTGACTGAAATCTTTAGCAACAAGTAAACGTTAATGTCAAGTAACGGCTGGATGATGAAGTGGTGAAATGTAATGGAGGAAATTAATAGAGCTCAGGGATTAAAATGGCTTAAAGTGATGGTTGTTGGATGGAATGAGGCTGAAACGGTTGTGGCATGGCTCAGACTGTTTGTAATAGCTGATGGTTGAAATGGCTAAAATGCTAAACAGCTAGTTGTCGTAACTAGTATTGGTTGGTGTTGTTAGCTAGTAATGACAGATTAAACATGGCCAGATGACATCGGCTTGAAAAACAGTTAAAGACACAATATGCTTTAAACAAGAATACAAAAACTAAGTCTGCATGTGTGCCTTCACAAGCCAACGTCCTGCTAGACAGCTTCAGAGACAAACACAGAGAAGACGCTTGGACAAGCAGGTTCTGGAAAAAAACATCAATTTTTATTTTGAAATGACTGATCTTGTGCCGTTCTGTTTTCTTTCTTTTTTGCATGATTTCTTTTTTTTTTTTTTTTGAAAATCTCTTCCACCAAAATGTCCAAGATAACAATGCTCTTAAAAAATCAAATCATCAGGTAGAACTCTGGAGGGAAAATAAAATTCATCTCAAAACAAGACGTACAAGAAAAAAAAATAAATCCTAATTTTTTTTTGCAGGGGGAGGAGGAGGGAAGGAAGGAAGGGAGGGAGGGCTGAAACCAAATGAAAAAAGAGATGCTACGACCGAGAGGTGGCTCCTCCTGGGCCGGATGGAGGGACGAGCCCTCATCCAGCGGTGGAGGAGGACAGCCAATCACAGTGTAGTGTCCACACCTCCCATGATGCCCCTCTCCACGGGAGACTCAGGCAGTCAGACAGCAGGTACAGGACACCTTAGAGCGGTCGGTCGTGAGATGAAGCACCAGAAGAAAAGACCTCCATTCTCAGCAGCCTGCTGGAGGACCAGCACATCAGCTGTTTCATGGTTTTAACATCTGAACAAGTCATTCGTTGCTGCTTCAGCTCTGGAGGCTGCAGGCAACACGACACAGAGTGAAGGCGGCCGCCAGCATCACCACGGAGGCCCACAGAAAATGGAGGTCTTCCCCTGGAGGTACAGTGTATGATGACTACGAGGGTTCTGCTGCCAGCGAAGGTGCCGACCGACCCAGTCCCGCTGCTCCTTATTTACTTTGTGAAGTGAAGCCCTTCAGCTGTTTTCATTCACGTCCTCGACGTTCGCCGAAGCCTCGACTGCAGCTTCGTGCTGAGATGAGGATGAGTGTGAGATGACGATGCACAGTAGAACCGACCACAGTAGAACCGACCACAGTAGAACCGACCACAGTAGAACCGACCACAGTAGAACCGCCCACAGTAGAACCGACCACAGTAGAACCGACCGTGAGCTGGCAGAGGAGGCGGCGGGCCGGGAGGGAGAGGCGGCCATCTTTAGCATCCCAGTCAGTGGGGAAACAAAAGGATCCTTCAGCCCGGTCAGAACCTGACTGGACCGAACAAAGACCACACACAGAGTAATCTGGTACACGATGCACAGTAGACGGACTTCTGGACCAACGTGCATCATGTTTAACGTGGAAGTTAGCAATAAGGGACGGCTAGCTCGTTAAACCTGCTCAGTGCTGATCCTGTACAGCTGATTAGCTTAGCTTAGCATAAAGGCTAAAACTAGGTGGAAACAGCTGTTCTAACTGGTAAAAGCTAAGCTAAAATACAACTACAACTCGGTTTTAACCTTTTTCTGATCACCAATGTGTCATTTTTTTAATTAACTTAGAAACATGCTCCTTTAGCTCTGATGCAGGTCCACAGCTCGTTTAGAGACTCGTCTGTCTGCTGTTTACACTCATGTGTGGATCACGCTAGCTGTTTCTACTCTTTATGCTAAGCTAAGCTAAGCTAAGCTGCACACTCCCCTCATACCTAACTACTCCTCTGACCAGTGGTCACCATGGTAACCAGTGTTTAGCCAACTGCTGATCTGTAAACGTCCTCTCAACAACCAGCTCCACAGGAAGTGCAGGATGGCGGCCTCTCCGTCCCGCCTCGCCCTCCGTCCCCCCGGAGGCAGCAGCCCCGCCCCGTTTGGACCTCAACCCGACCACCCGAACCCCCCGACCCGTCCGGCCGAGCGGCGCCCCTACTCGGCCTGGGCGTCGTAGTTGGCTCCGCCCGCCTTCTTCAGCTCCGTGCGGATGTAGTCCTCGTCCAGCTCCCGGGCGTCGCTGATCATGAACTCCTTGGCAAAGTTCTGCAGAGAACAGACAGCGAGTTGGACCTTCTCACTCAAATCAAGCTTATTCTAGTGAGTTCTAGTAACCTGGTGAACATTTATCGTCCCAGCGTGTCTGACCATCAGTCTGCTCACTACTGAACATGTATTTAAATGATTATATGAAGCGAAACCTTCAGACAGCTGGAGACAGAACCTGAACCTGGTACCAGACCATATGATTACAGTCATGACTCGATGATCCGACTCTAAACGTAAAACCTTCTTCTATGTCGGATATCAAGGCTGTCGGATTGTCCAGACGGAGGTCCAGATACGAGGAGGGCTTGATGCTGGAAGGCTCATTAGTTGTTCATTATTGTTCATAGTTGTTATAATAACTAGTGTGCTGTTAGAACACTTCAGCCGAACTGACCGGTGTGATTGTGCACGTTCCGGCCACTTCCACCCCGGGGCAGCGCTCTGACGGGGTGGAAGTGTCCAGAACACACAGGCAGTACTTGGCTGCTGATGCTAGTTTAGTTAGCGCTCACACTTCTGTTTCCTCCATCGGTGGCGGCGGGGGAGTGGCAGATACGCTCCACCGTTACCATCCATGTTTACTTCCATAAACACTGAGCACGCTCGCTGCGTGTGACGTCGTCGTGTCCTCTTCTGCGCATGCGGGACACTTTTGGCTCGTATGAAGTTCACACAGCAGATCACATACAAGTCGCATTGAAGTGGAAACGTGAAGGAAGTCACAAAGAAATCCTCATTGAGCATCAAGTCCTGCAGTGTGAACGTAGCCAATCTGTGGGATTGTTCAGTCAGATAATACGCCGTCATCCTGATTGGTGACATTAAATGTCATGTCGGAGTCACAATCCAAGGCTGTCGCTATGTTAAGGCTGTTTTTATGGCTTCTGGTGGTTTTTCCTAAAAACCTGTCGGACAGCAGGTTCTGGATTGTTAAGGGTCCGATTATCGGGTCATGGCTGTTTTTAGGACCTTTGAGGAACATAAATGTGTAAACTTTAATACGTCGTTATTTTATCCATATGACAGGAGACCGAGTCAGAGACGATGAATGGTGAAACATGGACCACTTCCTCATCTGAGGATCCGGAGCAGCAGGAAGCTTCTCCTAGTGGTGATCTGATGGAACTACAACTACACTTCATTAAATCAGGATGATTCTTACAACGTGATCAACAGTCTTTACTGATTTACATATTAAAGGCTGCATCTATATCTGGACTCTTGATGCTCTTTGTTCTGGTATCGAGTCCGTCTGCTGGTTCTGGTACTGTCCTGGTTGCTGGCTCAGCCCTCAGTGATGATTACAGACTTTAGCTGCTGGCTCACATGTGGTCCTACTGGGACCGTTGGAGCAGCTCACATGAACATCATGAACGTCGCTGCTGAAGAAACTTGAAAACGCCCTGATGGTTCTCAGACAGGTTCTGGTTCTATGGACGTTACTTAACGGGTCTGTATTTGCTCTGTGATCTTATAAACGCATCCTGTACTTTAATCATGTTGTTTTTAGCTCATTTTATTTTGAAAGTCCTCGTTTATACATTAAACCTTCATGTGTTTTAGGTTCACTGATATGTTCTGAAGACCCGTTTCCCCCGCGGCGTTTCATCTGTTCTACTGGTTCATGCTTTCCCTCCTGTTTAATGACTCCAGATGACCAGTTGTTCTCTGAGTCCTCCGTCTATGAGTTAACCCTTCGACCGTCTGGACCTCAGACTGTCCCTCTGAAACACTTCCTGTCACATGGTCCTGGTACTGAAGTCCGATCCCCGCTCCGGGCTGAGTAACGACTCCACCCTGCCTGTGTGACGCTCGTCTGATAGGAAGTCAGATTTAATGCTTAAAACTCGTCTGACAGGTTTTACTGATGTACACAACGTAAACATCTGCTTGAAGCTGATTGGTGGATTTCTTTGCTCCATTTTGGTGAATGGGAACAAACTGTAAACAGAACCGGTACCAAACTGTTCCGACCTGCAGCGGCCTGGTCGTACCAACGCTGCCGAGTGCAGCTCTAGTGTTGTGGACCGGCGCCACCGGCTCTCTGACCTGCACGATGTCTTTGACCAGCGTCTTGTCGGTGCTGATCTTGGCGCGCTGCAGCCCGCTGATGTTCTCGCCGATCCAGGTGATCAGCGTGAACTTGGCCCGTTTGCTCATCGCGTCTCCCGTCGTGATCCGGACGAAGCCGAACAGACGAGCATCATCTGGAAACGGAAACAGAAACAGCAGAGTGTGAAGGAGCAGGTCAGAGTGTTTAAGACGCCTGAGGCTGGAGGAGACAGATGAAGGTCATCTCCTCCGTCAAACCAATCAGCTGCTTGCTCAATAAAACGTCACATCAGCGGTTCTTCTGCTGGATTACTGGTAGCAGCTGGACTGATTGAAGACGTTCCACCTCCATCCAGGAGGCTTCATCAGCTCTGACTGACTGGTTGGGAGTTCCACAGACTGATATCCTGAAGGAGACGTTAACACCTGAGTTTTAATTGGAGGTTTGTTGCTCCTCCCCCTCGTTATGTGGCTCGTTAGTGCTCCCCCTGCCACAGTGGGGTTCGTTAGGGTCTCTGTGGCTCGGTGTGGATGTGGAACCACCAACTGAAGCCTAAACTCAGGTGTTAACGTCTCCTTCAGGATATCAGTATGTGGAACTCCCAACCAGTCAGTCAGAGCTGATGAAGCCTCCTGGATGGAGGTGGAACGTCTTCAATCAGTCCAGCTGCTACCAGTAATCCAGCAGAAGAACCAGGACCTGGAGGACTGAGGATCTTCTCAGACATCAGCTGTGTTGCACAACCCAGAGTTCTGGTGCAGAGCAGAACGAGTCCAAGACAAACCGGTTTATTATCGAAACCCAACATATGAAACAACAAATATATAAAATAAGTAAGAGCTTGTTTACTATAATAATAATAATAATAATGATTAAATCATTCTTAAAGTAACTGATGGGACAGAACCAGTGGGACGGGCCACAGACCAGGATGTCAAACAGAACAAAGCTGTGATAGATATATCAGAATAGAAACAGGACTGTGGAGAACATCTGGAACCATGAAGGAACGTCCATCCTTCAGCTCATCACAGACATTCAGGATCTGGAGAACCTCAGCGTCGGACCGGACACGAGCAGGTGGCGGGTGTCTGGAGGTCGGACCGCTCAGGACGTTTCGAACCAACGACAAGACGACAGCTGGTGGATCTCCTGTTAGATGTTCCAGCAGCTGGAGCAGCAGCACCAAACGCTGCAGATAGCGACCCAGGACGACCCAGGACGACCCAGGACGACCCAGATCTACGACTCCAACTCATTAGTGTCCCAGGTCGCAGCTCAAACTCAACAACCGGGTCAGACTGTAGCTGCTGATGTCCGACTCCAGCTCGTTCCTTCTACGAGCCTTTAGTGCTGCTGAAGCTCGGCTCCAGGACTCAGGTCCAGTTCGCTTGATGTTTCTGACCCACATCAGCTGGTTCCTGCCGTCAGCAGCACCAACCCGTTTGGCTCATTCTAACTGTGACCGCCAGTCAGAAGAAAACGAGCAGCGAGCAGCACGCTGTCCAGAGATCACAGAACCAGCAGGTACAGAACCAGAACAAGCTCTGTTCACCGCAAAGAAAAGCATCGGATCAGCACATTTAAAAGCTGAAATCATCAAACATCTGGTCCGTTTTCATCACGTTTGGTTGAAATCAATGAAATCAGCTCGTTCAGCTGTTTGATGTTGAACATTTTCTTGATCAGCTGGTTGATAGAAAACAAACAACAACAACAACAACAACAACAACACAACAACAGTTTGGGACTAACACCTGTGGTTCTGGTTCTTGTGAATCTGCACATTTCGGTCCAGACTCAGTGTTTCCAGGTCAGACCGAGGCCGGCGAGCGCTCCAGAGCGTCTAACTGGAGCACCGCTTTGTGCAACAGGAAGTATTCAGGTCAGTCGACTAAACGGGTCGGATCTTTTGTGGTTCTTTCAGCTGGGAGGCCACGCCTGCCGCGCCGAGGTGGTCGCGGAGCAGAAAGCCTGAATGCAGCCCAGGAACAGGAACATTCCTGCTGCAGCTTTTGTCCCGTCGTCCCACTTCAGGCCCCAAATCCTGCTCAGATGAAACACAAGCTGCTCCATTCACACCCGGCGCCGCTCGCTGCTCAATCCACAGAGAAAGAAAATGCAAATGAAAGCTCCTCCGTCCAGGACGCACAGCCCGGCGTCACCACCCGAGCCGCCATGAACAGTCAACGGAAAAGTAACGGACACAAAGTCTGCGTTCGTGAGAACGGCACCGGCGGCTGCTTCGGCGTTCAGAGCGACGGGTTGGACGTTCTCTTCTTCTTCGTTCTCCGTCAGACACAATCGTTCACAAGCTCACTGAGGAAACCAGACGAGGCTCCTGTGACAGAGCAGGAATGAGCAGAAACAGGTTCTTTGAGGCTGGAACCTTGAACAGACTCTCATCTGGTTGTACAGGAACCATGGAGCCACATCAGCAGACCTCTGGAGCTCCATCCACCTGAAGAGGCCGACGTCAGTCTGACACTTTATGTCCAACAGCAGCAAAGCAGCAGCTGTGACACGAACACACATATCGACTGTCATTCACCAGCACGAGCAGGAAAACAGCTGATCTCCTGACGGTTCCCGACTCCAGCCGACAGAAACGTCTTCAGATCTGAGACCAAAACCCAAAACTTCAGTTTACTGAGTTCTACAACAAACTAAAGAATCAACTCTGTTTGATAAAAACAGTCACTGAAAGTCATGGTTAGTTCAGCCATCAGCCATCAGCCACTTCCCTCCTTCATCATTACATCATCAGAAACATGAAACGTCCTCCCAGAGCTCCACAGTCCAACAGACGGTCCAGGTGTGCCTGGTCCAGGTGTGGCTGATCCAGGTGTGGCTGGTACCAGGTGTGGCTG